TCCTTCTCTATAAATGGAAATAACTAACACCTATCTCATTTGGTCATAGTGACTATTAAATGACGATGCATGTACAGAAATCTTACTTATGCAAGAGCCGACATGCAGTACGCACCACGTTTAAGAATGCTGAACAGATTCACTACAGAGGTCGCCTCTGGCGGTGGGAGCAGGATGAAGCTATGGAAGGATGTGTTGGGGCTCCTTTCTATTGTGAATATTTTCCTTCTTACAGTGGGCGCTGGATATATTGCTATTTGCTTTGTTATTCTTCGTAATGTTTTGTTGAAATATATGTTTAAAAACGTACACATAGGAAGCAATTAATAAATGAACAGTTGTTACAATTATTATTAATCAAAAAGTAGTTCTTATTCCATGCAAAGCACTGTGCTGGGCACCACAGGGAGAAGTAAAGTGAGTAACAGTCCACCCGCTCCAATCCAGACTAGAACCTCTGGTGTCGCTGGGATGACAGCACCCACCTTCACACTGTAATGCCAGGCAGGATGCAGTAAGTGACCTGAGGGGTAAAAAGAAAGAAAAGAGACACTCTAACTTCTTAGACTTTCTAAGGCTTCATCAGAAAGCTGGTGACTGAAACTGAGCAGAGTTTTTAAGGTGTAAGAAGCAAACAAAAAGGTGTCCCCACTAACAATTATGGCACCAGAGGACAGACCAGCATGATTAGGTCGGTCACAGACAAAGCGACTAGAGAATGCAAAATCTGAGAAGCCAGGGGAGGAGGAAATGAAAAGGAAAGGACAAATGGTCTGCACAGAGGTACTCCACGTCCACAGAGAAAAGAACATCCAATTTCTTTCTCTTGTAACTTTTAAGAGAGCAATTTTCATGTAATTATACAAGGGGGCAGAAACCAGATTTCAGTGCCTAGCAAACAGTAAGAGCCTAATAACTACTCTCTTAATAAATGGATGCTATCTAAATGGGCTCGCCCCCGGAAAGAGGTCAGCAATCCCTCAATCCCACCTCAAATGTAAGCTTTTAAAGCTGTGCTTCTCAAAGGGTGTCCCCAGAACAACTGCTACAAAACCACCTGGCATATTTATTAAAATGCAGAGTCCCAAGCCCCTCCCCAGATCCAGTCAGTCACAGTATTTGGGAAGGGGTCCCCGCAGCAGCATTTTAAGCAAGGCCACCAGGTGACTCTAGGGCAAAAAAACGATGCTGAAGAAGGAGGTGGAGGTATAGTTGCCTATTCGTTAAAGATGTTTGTTCATGACACAAAGGACAGCAGAGAACAGCAGTTGAAGGGCATGGCAATATCAAGATGAATTTTTAGTCAGGAGATTTACTCAGCAGATTTCTAGAGAAAGAAGAAAGAAAGAAAAAAAAAAACTAGTAGGACAGCGAGAAAATACAGATACAAATCAGAGAAGGCACAGGCATTCCCCTTCAGGTACAAGGTTCCCAAAAAAGCAGAAGGACCAAGGTCAAAGACATAAGCAGCATTACCAGACTAGCAAACAAGCTGAGACCAAGAGCTGTTTTTCCTGAACTAACAAGAGTCCCTGGTGAGTTTTGGAAAAGGATTGGAGATGATCATGCACACAGAGGACAAATGTCATGTCCCCTGACCCTATCTCATCCGGGCACTGTTGCCTTGGGGAGTAAAATAAAACTTTAAAACCCATTCTTGTGGACAGTAAATAATTTGGCTTAGGAAAAAGAGATGTATGAAAAAAAACTTTTTTAGAGATTAAAAACAATGACATAAAGGATCATAAATAAAAATAATAATTCAGTCCATCTGCCCATATGATTTCACCACATCAAGATTTCAAACCAGTCACTTTAGGAAATAGTATGGCAGTTTCTCAAAAAAATTAAATATACAGTTACCATATGACCCAGCAATGCCACTCCTAAGTATTTACCCCAAGGGAACTGAAAACAGACATCTACACAGAAACCTATATGTACATGAATGATCAAAGCGGCACTATTCCTAATAGCCAAAAAGTGGAAACAACCCAAATGTCGATCAGCTGATGAATGGATAAACAAAATGCGATGTATTCATCCAATGGAATATTTACTACTCAGCCATAAAAATGAATGAAGTGCTGATACATGCTAAAACACGATGAACCTTGACAACATTATGCTAAGTGAAAGAAGCCAGACACAAAAGGCCACATACTGTATGATTCCATTTATATATAATGTCCAGAATAGAGCCAGAAAGTAGATTAGTGGTTGCCTGAGCAGGCGGTGGGAGGGGGAAGAGTGACTGCCAATGGGTATGTTGTTTCTTTTGGGGGTGATGAAAAATTAGACAGTGGTGATGGTTGCACAGCTTGTCAAGATACTAAAAACTACTTAATTGCATACTTTTGAAAAAATTAAAAATAAATTTTA